TCCAAGATTTTAGTTGCTGGAAATAAATAATATGGACATGCCATGCTTCAATAAGCGTGTCGTTTGTAAATAGTTTTTTGTTGTTGTTAAAATCGAAATCGTGCTTACTTTCACTTGATGATCCGTATAGAGGTTTTGATTGATTCAAAAGATCCTCGCATTATCTTACTCCTATTGGAGAGTTGGGATTCTCTTGCCTTTGAACTATTATAATTAATTTAATGATATTGTTCTTCTTCATATAACTTTCAAGCTCTAAAAGCTGAAAGATGATATAATTATTCAAAGAAGTACTGAGTGTTACTCGGCTTCTTGAGATTGTGTCTCCTCTCCTTCCAGCAGTCTTGAAAGCGTACAAAAAGATCCCCCTGGGTTCAAAAATTAAAATATGCGATCTTACACGCAATTATATGTGAAATGTGATCAAGAAACATAAGGGTCAGCGTTGAATATATTCAAATCAAAATATATTCACGAAGTGAATGAGTTATTGAAAATATTTTAAATTGTGTTCCTGAAGCTTCCTGTGACAATATATTGAAACCCCGCGAATTAGCAAAATGCTCTGGACGGAGGATCCTTATATACAGTATACATTTCTTAAGTTATCTCTCAGGTTATGCAATCAAAAAGGTTGCATAAATGAGATTGACTTGACATATTCATTGCATTATGAACCCTAATACAGTATTGGCAATCAGAAAGCAAGCACAGTATAACTTAGCTATGATCAAGACGATGACTGCATTTTTGACTGCACAAAGACCTGGCTGTGGTATTGCTGACCAAAAATCTAGTGGCCATAAAAAATAAAACTATGTTGCGGGTAACTTAGGTTATTTTTCCCGGGGTCATAGTTCGCAAGGCGGACAGGACCCGTGAATTAGGACTAAAGCCGATCAAAATAGTTACGTTTTTTTTCAATCTAGCGGTATTCAATTTATTGAAAATGTTGTCATTTCTATCGAATCATTTTCACTAACTGAGATGAATTCTGTCGTTGTAGATTAACTGGCTAAAGGTAATACGCTACTAATGTGGTCCGGTAGACTCTACTTCTAGTCTACATTTAGTAGGGCACATTAACTTTAGCAATTTTTAGACCTTGCTTTTTAATGTAAGATTTTAATGGTGGAAAATAGTTCGCATTTGGCTGTTCGCCAAAAAGAAGAATGAGTTTTGAACACGCTTCCATGATTGCGATGTGGAGCTTGGGAAAAAAACAAGCTGACGGTTACACAGTTGGGGAAGTGGTTTCGATTGAATCAACATAAAGGATAAAGCACTGCTAAATTTAGACTTCATGTGGAAAGACTTGAGCCCAAGAAAAATTCTCGAATGCCTGCTGGAAATTTTAAATTTCTTCTCCGTCTTCAGGAGGCCATGTGAAAAGCAAAAGTTTTTGTTTTTCAATTATGGATCGCCAGCTGATGGTCTTCTCTATACATGAAAGATGTTGCCTGCACTGATCGTTTCAGTATAAGTAGAGCAGATTGTGGGTTATGAGCATGATTGTTACCATGTCATGTTACTTTCTACTCTCAGCAATGTGAAGATATAATGAATAAAGCATATTGCAATCCGCCAAGTGGAAAGATTCAATCAAGAGCAAATATTCCCTGTATCTTTGGCTTCCATCTGCAACCGAATAGAAAGTACCAGCTTATGAGGAAACTTTTTGTTCAGCCGGTAAAACGTTTTCTGCCTTGTACGCAGACAGTTGCTAGGATAGGCGCACATTTGCCACCTTATTCATGAACATAACATTGCCTAGCAATCGAAATCGTAGTACGACTATTAGAATGTAACTAAGGGGTCTACGCACGCTCCATACGCGTTTTCTTCTCAGTATTGGCAAATCTCGCGTTTCTTCAGATAATCGCTATTATTCAGGCACCGGCACATTTCAGATCAAATTTGACGATAAGACCGCGGCGCGCGCAGCATTATTGTATAAATTACAATGATGCTTTAAAGACTTTCGAGAGTTAAGACACACTCAGGGACTTTTTAACGAGCCCTCGTGTATCAAATGAGTTTAGGGGTAAAAAGAGTAAATATTAAGAGTATATTATTTTATGTCGGACAAAAACTTCACAATGTCAGTATGCTTTAATAATCTTGTTCCGTTTGGACTGAAAATATATAATCTGTTCAAACAGAGTCTGTTGTCGGATTTCTTGCATGATCTTTATTATTTTTAAATATATAGTTTTTTCCTTCATCAGTAGTATTCAACTATGGTGAACTGATATTTCAGCGATAATTAAATGAAGACATGATGTTACCTGGTCTCAGAAATCTAAAAAGTTAAAGGTACCGTTAAAGAGGTCTTGATAAACGTTCGTGATTTGAAGGAAGTACCGTGAGGAATAATTCTTTGCTTATTTGGGTTTCGATGGGAGAAATTTGTAAAATTTCAGCAGTTGGCGTTATGAAGTTCATCACTAAATCATCATTTTAAATAATTTTCGCGCACAATTTAGTACAGTAATTAGTTAATCGAAGGGGATTTAAGAAATCGAAATTAAATAAAATAGCGTCCAGCACACCGCATATTCTCCTAATATTTAATGATCATAATTTAAGGCAAGGTTACTCGAATACAGTGCCCGATTGATCGGAGACTAATTATCAAGAATCTGCTGCAGTCTTTTTTTTAAATTTAGATCAAGGCAGATCTCTGTTAGTAATCTAAAATCCGGCAATTTGACATTTTATAGTTGGTGATTCTGCTTCCACATTTTCCGCGTCAATCCAGGATTTCGCTGCGTGTCTTTGCATTAGATCTCAACATATTTCCGTGTTGGATTTTCATTAATCTACTTCACGCGCAAGCGAACGCATTCCTCGACGCATTTTTGGTTATAACCAAACAATTTGTCTTGTCATCAATCAGGGTAATTCAGGTTCCAATGGATAAGACAGGACGTCTGAATTTACTACTGGTATATAAGTCGACTCACTTCTTCGCGATACTTGGCCCTGTCCTCGGGAGAGTAGAAAATGCGACCGAAAACAGGCGCCGTGTTGCGCGATGGCGGAGGTCGGCCTTCGAACATGGCGTCATCCAACTGACCTCCTTGTCCCCTTTGCATCTCTCGTGCTTGTTCCTGCATCCGCTCCTGGCTCACTAAATCGCGGAGGATGTTGAAGCTCCCTGCTGAGGAGCCGATCGAGTATCGCTGCTGGTTGTAGGCTCCGTCCGAACCCGGGTCCACGGGTGACAAGGCCCCGTATGCCTCCGGCTGCTGGGTCGGAAAGAACGTCGACGGACGGCGCACTCCGAACCTGCGCACGAATGAGCTACGTAGTTAGATTTCTCCTTAGCATTGGGCTTGACATTTCGAGTCAGGGAAAGTCAATGGAATTGTGTTCACCGAAGTCGAGTAAATAATTCGGAGATAGAGTTTAACAATAGGTTTTTGTTCTCAACTCCTGGTAAAGATCTCCGAACGGTTCTTCAAAGATTTCAGAAGTCATTCGCAGCAAATTTCTCTTTCTGAGTTTTTTTCAGTGAAAAGTGATTTTTAAAATGTTTTATGCGCCGAGATTAACCAAATTTTCAGCAACATAGAATCTCGATCCATTTTCATTTCTCACAAGTGAAATGTCAGAATGCCTTAAAATATCACAGCATTGGAAGACTGGTAAAGTACACGAAATTTTGGACACAGGCATTGCTGTTTCGAAATGCGAGGGAGTCTGTGAAAATCACAATAAAACCGAATACTGGATTGGTTGAATTGTTATGAGACCATCATCTTCGCATCAAGTTCGACGATGCTGCTAACATTCTTCCATCAGATTCCAACATTGATCCCAGACAAAAAAATTTCAAATTGATTTTGGCTAAAAATTGCTCCTACTATAACGGACTTTCCAGCGAACAAGCTTAATTATTGCAAGGTTGCAAGCATTTTTGGGGGAACAAATTTGAAAATTTTCATTTCAATCCAGCTACAACGTAGTCGTTCAATTCCGCTATAAAAAATCCCAGCTAACGAACACTCGTCGTTTTTGTCAGCCAAGACCCTGCTGTTCTGTCACGTCACTTTTTAAAATTTCGTCCTTGGACATATGTTTGGTAACAATACTCTGGAATCCTACGGTAAGATGTTTGGAAATCTGCCGGTAATACTGTACATTGCTGAACGTGGTAGTACGAGTAGTGCAATGATATTAAATATCGTAGCTCACCTGGAAAAGAACTGCTGCGGATAGGGGTAGTAGCGGTTGTAGGAGTGGAACGGGTAGACGAACGGGTCGCGGGTGCGGGGGATCTCATTGGTGATTTCGGCGGCGCGGGACTGGCGTTTGGACGCCCGCCACATGGCCCGTAGCTGCTCGCAGGACGGCTCGTGCTGCTTGAACATGGGGTAAACGACGGTCTCACGGCCATACGACCCACGCCCAACAGATAGGTCCCGGTTTTGCGCCGTCGCTGCCGTCGTCATCACGACCAAGGCCACGGTCAAGTGCAGAAGTCCCATGTTTAGATTCCCGATCCGTCTGAAGCGTCTCTCGTGTTGCTGAATCCTGACTGACTTTCTGGTCCTCTCCCGTCTTCCCTGCGCTCTGTGTCGTTTCTCGAATCGCGCGCGAAAAGCTCTATCCGTATGGCTTCACGGAGCTCTGACTACTATAAATCATTATGCACTCCGCGGGTCGCCGAAATGGTCTGAAGAATGATGTTGTACTCGTCAGTTTTGTCCGACGAAGCAACGTTCCATCGCAAAATAACGTGAGACCCCGACGATATACGGACTATTCGACTTGAAGGGACACTTGAAACTCAAAATCCAGCAAATGTCTCGAGTTTCGGACATTTTCCAGAATTCATCAAAAAGTGGAGGAAATTTCATTTGAAAAAATGTTGATATCTCTTGATTAAACTGAGCTCCTATTTATATTCAAACACGTTAAAATATGAGTATACTCGTATGCTATCATAAATTACTCGAATTCATACTCAAAAGAAGTCTAATTTTGTGATTCTCTTCTCAACGTTTTTTTTTTAAATAGTCTTTGCACAGTATTTCAAGACTTGTTCTTGTTATTTTCTTTTTGAGGTCCTTGTGATGCCAGAAGATCAGATTGAATGTAGTTTTCTTCTACACAGTTGCGCATCTTGAATTTGAGGGAAACATCTTTTATTCAATTTTTTGGGGACTTACTCCTGATTTTCGATAAACAGGAGAACCGATTCAATATCTTCGCATTGAAGTCTATGGGAAACTGAGATCCAACATGTGGAAAATCTAACATAGGTTCAATGTACATGCACAAATTACGTCCGCATCTCGGGGCCCCAATGTACATCCCTAACTAGGCTCTTATTGATCCTTCCCACGATGGAATTTGAGAGATATATGAAAAATTGTAATGAATCGGATACTGTATTTCACAATTAACGCATGGAAGAATTTGATTAGTATCGTGGCAATTGGGCGTCCCTCAAACAGAGCATTTGCAAAAATAGAACAAGCTGTCGCGAAAAGTACTGTCAGCAAAAGAAAGCGCTAGAAATGCTCCAACTATTCCTTATTGATAATTACATTTTACATTTTACAACGATGCCCAAACGTTTGTGAAGCATTGTAATTGTACCTATAGATTAAAGTCTTTATGCTCACGACTGTGCTGGATATCTTTAACGTAGTTGCAGACTGCAGCTCTACAAGAAACGTTTTCACTACGCACACGCCTCTAGTTTTCTCATTTTAGCATCATTAAAACTCAGAGCTTCAAAAACCTGCTCGAGTTGATAGGTCGATATTAAGAGCAGACTGTTTAAACATACGATTTGAACATGCCGAACCTAGCTACACCTCGAGGCTGCCCAAGAAATCCTAACAATTTTCAGAGGACAGGTCCATTTCATTCCAAATTTAAAAGAAACTTCATGCATGAAAAAATTAACTTGGATGCACAGCGTATTCGAAAACCAGAATAGAGCATGATTGCAATAGAATACTTATTCCCACCTCATTAACTTGGCCAGGACGAAGAAAAAAAAAACGTTTTTAAAATATTTCTGTGAGTGCTGAAGTATGGTTTTTGCATTTCAGGAATGATCCAATTTTTTTTGTATCAGCAGATTAAGTGCAAGGATCTAATTTCATTTTAGCTCCTCTGTGAGTAGCTTCGATTTTCCGACTACCTATCTTTGCAGCTGAACTAAACCCGGAAATATGATAAATACAATACGTAGCACACAGGAATTTCAGGACAGAACGCTCGCTGGTGAATGTACAATACCATACTGTTGTTTCTTATTCTAAATCTCTGTAATTTGTAAGCCGTTGCGCACTGGATTTTAATAAAAGTTGTTCGAAGCATGAACTTGAGAATATCTAGCCACAAACATTTTTAGAATCCTTCACATTCCTCGCGATTCGTATAAAGTGATGGAAGAAGCATATTGTCATTCATTCAAGCGTAGCGCAGGCTTCAGTGTGGAACAAGTCAAAGCACCATTTGACGCTATAGGGGTCCAAGAAAACCTCAAATGATCCCCTGAACTGTGCAACTTCAGGACAACTGGCGAAGGCCATAAATAACCACAACCTAACGATTTCCCAGAATTTTCTTCAACTGTGCGTCGAATCAAGGGTTGGATCAATGAATGAATGTTCTGAGAATGTCTTTTCCTCATTCATGCGAGTTGTGCAGAACGAATCGCGATCTTTTTGCTCACACGTCACACAGTGACCATAATCCGAAAATCAATCGTCCAAGCAATCATTAAGGATGAGCTATTTGTGGAGAGCAGTCGGAGAAGTACAAGGAAGCAAAATTCGTGAAATGCAGCAGTATTTTCTCTTCGCTTTCACTGGATCTCAGCGAGCGATTTTTCTAGATTTGCAAAAAAAAAAATGTTTCAGGAGTCTATAAAAACCCGAGGAACCACGAAGTGTGCATTTCCCCCATCACTTCCTACAATTTCGTTTAGAAAACGTTGAAAACAGAGGTAAATGAAAAATTTGGTTTGTAGCAGCTGTGCGCGGAAATAATTCAGTTGAAAAGGAATACGAGACTTGCTAGTGTAAAGAATATAAATTTTCTCTCACCAAGGGCGACTAACGCGTGAAAAATTAATTAATTTTATTTTTAGCTAAAGCACTGGGATACTTAACCCAGTGGTTTTTCGATGGTCATACCTTCGAAAGTTGAGTGCCTGTATATATGGCAGATTCGCTTGAAATAATGTTCGTCTCGCGGGATTTGGAAATGCGGATGAGTATACCCAGATGTTGGGTTGGGATGCAGACAAGTGCCTATTCATCGATCGGAGGTCTGAAGGAATCGGAT